TTTAGGGGTCTGACTGTATACACATAATCTATTGATTTTGTTTATAAAAGATTAGAGATGACAAAAAATTCATTTCTATTTAACATTAAGTTAACACAAAGAATTATCCTTTAATAATTTTTTGAATTATTTTCTTGAAGCAAGTAAAATAAACCAGATTAAAATACGCAAAGATGAGTGAAATAATGGCAGACAAAGATACGCAAGAGAAAAAATTCATAATTATGAGTTTAAAAGAGGAATGGGAAAAGGCTGAAATAAGTTATAAAAAAAGAAAATATTTAATAATATTAAATATCGTGTTGTCCCTTTTTGTTATACTTTTTGGGGGAATATTATTTTATATTTTCTTGAAAAATCTTACCAATAATATATTTCACATTGTGGCATCGAGTATTCTTGCCAGTGGCGGAGTTTTGGCTCTTTTTACGACTTTTGTTGAAAAGTTTAAGTCAAACAAAGATAATATTGTTTCGTTAGTTGAAGTTACGAAAAACATTGCAGCTGCATCTGATAAAGTATTCATGCCCACGTTATTGCCGATACCTGATGAACACCTAAACAAGGAAAATCTTGTTTCTAGGTGCGAAGAATATTTATATTTTTTAAAGCGTGTCAATAAGCTTATCGAAAATGAAAAGAAAACTGCTGTAGCATTTATTATTTTAGTATCTTTATATATTGTTATTACATCTATTTTCTCTATCTTGATTAATATTAAGATCATCTCACGTATCACTGTATATGATGATCTTATCTTAGCCACAAGTATTATCATTATCGGTTGTTTATGGTTAGGCAATGTAATATTAATGTTATGTGAACGGGAGATTGAGAAAATGTTAAATTTTTCTATAGTAACTTCTAAAAAATTTTTTGGAATTTTTTTATTTTTTAAAAATTGTTTTCTTAAAACCCATGATAGAAATAGCAGTAGTAAATATAGCAATTTATTATTGCTTAGCAAAGAGATTATATTTAATTAAGATATTTGATCATGGGATGCTTTGTAATAACGATGACGAAGTTTGGCTAGAATTTGAAATGATAAAACATCTGGAAGAAAATAATGATGTTAATGAAACGATAAAACATCCGGAAGAGAATAATGATGTTAATGAAACGATAAAACATCTGGAAGAAATGAATTTTTTGTCATCTCTAATCTTTTATAAACAAAATCAATAGATTATGTGTATACAGTCAGACCCCTAAA